AATGTGGTTTTCTAATAACCTTTAATTTAATTTTTTTTTTGTATGTTCATATGAAAATATATAACACAAGTTTTTCTTTATAAATGCCCAGTTTGACACTTACTTTTCGCGTTTTTTCTTGATTTACGTTCATAAATGTTGTATACGGAAATAATTGCATTGGTCTACTTTTCATGCCAGTGCTGGCATAGAAAACATTTTTTGAACTGAAAGTAGAAAATAACTTTTAAAAACAATGTACGAGTGAACCACAAATTGGCACATTTAAATTTGATTGCCTTGTTCTCACTTTAATTTCAGATACTTGAAGTGCAGGGCCCAAAAAAAAAAAATAATATACATATATAAACATGTAAACATATAACATATAAATTTAAACATATTCAAACAAAGAATTACAGAGCCAAAATGAGTTCCAAACAAGAAGTTAGCAGATATGTATCTAAATAAAAAGTTTCATATTTCTCCTGAAATAAATAAGAAACAAACTTTTTAATGCGGGCAACCAACAATACACGGCGATAGACGACTATAGCGGCGTATATACATACATACATATGTATATAAATAGAAGGAAAAAATGCTTACATGTGCGTGAAATGAAACTTCTAACATATAAATAAATATCAACCAGAGAGTGCGACACATGCATACCTAGATTCATATCTACGTAGTAGATATATACAACTTGGTACTTCTTGCGACAACATGGCGTATGAGTGATACATATACGTAAATAACATGCGCATCTCTGCTGGTGTTGCGTGCATCTCTACACGAATGTTTGGCAAGTTCTGTGTGACATGCGTAATTTCAACAGCAACGCTGTCACAAGCACAAAACTTTTAATGCAAAAATTATTGGCTATTTGGAAGCGTCAGAAAGAAAGAAGAAAATAAATAAAACGAAAAAGAAAATATTGCTTGGAAAATTAAGTTCATGGGAAAAGTAAATAACCATTGTCCTTATTGATATACAAACTTATATACATGCTAAAAAAATTTAGTGCTCTAAATATCTTATTTTTGTCGCATTTTATTGATACTTTCACCGCTAATTCTTAATAATGCCTTGATAAAGCGTCAAACTTTGTAGCAAATAAAGCTTCTTACGAGTACTTTTGTGCAAATAAGGAGATTATTGGAAAAATTTGGCAGATTTTTTTTTTTTAACTTAAGTATGATTAAATGGGAGCGAAATACTAGGAAATTGTTTAATAAAGCAAATTAAATGCATGAAATCGTATTTCCATTAGACATAAAATGGCAATCAGTTTTATTGAAAATTTGAACAGTGAATAATATTTGTGTTACCGTTAAGCCTTGATCCTATCTCGGCAAGCGGTTCAAAAATGCGCTACTATCTCAGAAAACTTTTCTAGAACGCCCTACTTCAGAATTTGGTTCAAGAGTGCCTTATTTCAGAATTTGATTGAAAAATGGCCTATTTCACCGGATCCGGTCCGGTTTGTACGGCAATGAACCTACTACCTACTCATATGAAAGGTATGGTATGATTCCTTCTAAAAATGCTACATATTTTTTTCCTCGATAGTCAATATGGTCTTATAGAATTTGGAAACCAGCAATAAAGGTCTGATTTCACTGGCATCACTGGGCTTTTTGCTGCTTTCCTGTTCATATCAATAACTAATGAATGGAAAATTTGTCATATTTATCCTAGGTATAAAAAAATTGCATAGGATTCTCAGTCCCCAAGTTCTGTGTGCCGATGCTAAACAGCAAAAAAAGGATGATATTCTTAGCCTTCCGTGCGCTTAATGGGGTCTGAGAGACCCGACATATTTTCAAAAGACCACACGTATTGTAATGTGAGCCTTAACAGGGCATTAGTAGCTAAAGTTCGATTAATGCGCAGGCCAACGCCACCTAAGTTTTAGTGTGTAGTGCGATTTTGTGTAAACATGGCGTATCTACATGCGAAGCCTAAGTGGCTTATGGTTTAATTTAATTACGTTACAACTTGTAGCTACCAATACCAGAGAACTTATTTGGGTTAAATGTAATCATACATTGCCTTTGTAATAGCAAGAAACTTTATTTAGGGAATGCCGGTGAAGTCACAATACTTGCTTAGTAATTACATATAATGAATCTTAACTAGAAAATTTGCTACGTGCATATATCAATCTGACCAACAGAAACTCATGACTATGCATACCATCGTTATTCCTCTATCACTCTCAGCACTTAAGTAAATAGTGCTTACTTACTCTACTACTTGAAATTGTATTTAAGCATTGCATATTTAATGGCGTTATACCTGTGCAAATAACTATCAGTAATAAGTCACTTTTCATAATTTGCAACATGACAAGTTACAAGAGGCTAAACAAATAAGTATCTGTTTGCTTAATAAATATAGATGAATGACAAATATATTTATGCACGCTTCTGGTTACAGAGCAGACGAGTAATAACGCTCATTTAAATCACAAATCTTTGTTTGTATGCACATGCACACAGATGTACATATTTGTGTATGTATGTACATAATTCATAATTATAAGCATTGTGTGCCAGCCTAACGGCATATGCACGTAATGCCAACAATATTTCAAAGCTATTAAGAGCATATATTATTATGCAAACCTGCACACACACACACACGCATATGCATTGCATTGGAGGAATTTATGCCGGCTTTTGTGCATACATACAATATATATACACATAGACATAAAGAGTATACTGGTACACATACATGTATGTATGTACATACCCTGCAGAAAAAAAATATCAATTGGTTAAAATAACCAACTTACAGTTAGCTTGTTTTGCGGGATTTCGATAAATAACTAACTTTTAATTAGCTCTGACAAAATTAAAAAAATAAAAATTTTTTAAATTTTTTTTGGTTTTATAGATACCACTTAGGGCTGTGCGATTATTCGATTACTCGAGCAAGTTGGTTAATCAATTATTCGGTTAATCAATTACTCGAGTAATCAAGATTTTGATTACTCAAAACGATGATTAATCGAGTTACTTGAAATATGATTACTCAAAAAAAATAATTTTGCTCGTTAAAAGAGTTTGCTTTGGAAAATGCTTATTTTCTTTTTTACATTCTGTATATGAAAAAAATTGTTTGCTTTAATTTTTGAAAACAGAAACGTTGTTTTCAAAGTATCAAGGAACTTTAACTACTTTATACATATGTAAAGAGTTGAAATGTTGATTACTCATTTTACTCGAAATGTTGATTAATCATAAAGCAAATTACTCAAATATTTTTGTTTTTGGTTAATCAAAAATCTTGATTACTCGAGTAACTGAACTTTTGAGTAATCATAATTTCCAATTAATCGAATAATTGAGTTATTTACTTTATGATTAATTAAAATTTTGAGTATTCAATTAATCGCACAGCCCTAATAGAACTACTTAAAATTTTTTGTTCAACTTGGACCACAAAGAATGAAATAAAACTTTCTTAACGTAGAAGTTTATCTTGATTTCAATTAACATAATTTATAACAATTTTAATAAAATTATACTCAAAAGTTTTATGTGTAAGACAATTTTAAGTTATAGGCTTTCTATTAAACTAGGTCTAAATTCGAAAATGCATGCAATAGCTGCGTTAGTAGGCTTAAAAATTTTGTAATATAATTCTCTTTAACATAGGGTGGCTAACTTTTTTTCATCCGTAAACTTTTTCTAATTTCGAGGCGGTCGAATCTGAAACTTTGTAAATAATAACGATTTTTGTTTTTATTTTTCTTCATGTTTTTTGCTATTTCATTATTGGTGATTTTCTTTGTCGAGTAGTGTAGTTTATGACCAAAAGAAGATAGCTACAAGTCAGTTGACATCTAATGCAGAGGAATCCAGTGATCACTATTTTGCGGCTATCGCCTTTCAAAAGTATGTAGATAGTTACGGCCAAAGGAAATAGTTAATAAATAGTTACCTCTAGCCGACTGCTAGTTAGCTACAATCTAGTCCCATTTCCTGCAGGGTATATATGCATCTAAATACATATGTACATACACATTCCCAAATCTTTGCAGTTTTCCATTTAATACCTTCCAAAATAATTTGGTCTCTACACAGTCCTACATTGCTGCGAATTATTACACCAAATATTTTAGTTAGCATTTTGTTGTTACTTCTGTTATGCCATTGTTAATGATGCTGGTAATGTTTGACAGCTTGACAATTTGTTTTTGTTTGCTCACCTTGAAACGACTATTGCCAATGACGTTGATTGCTTCGTAGCTACACATACATATGCACCATATCTACATACGTTCACCATCGTTCTTGCCAGTTGCTGCAAATAATGTTGCAAATGTTTATAATGATGATTGCTGTCATAGACAATCAGGCAGCGTTAACTTGTATTTTTGTTGCTTCACAAAATTGCTTGTTATTTATGTATTTACGGCTTCATTTATTGTTTTACAAATTACGCTAATTTGTTGTAATTTGGTAGCGTACCGAAAATTCGTCACTGAGCTTATAAATATGTTTTATGATTTGTGGCAGACTTTTTCGGGCGTCAAAATAAACGCTAAATATTTTGTGCAAATGAATACATGGTAACATATTTTAATATTGCGCATGGAGGCGTTAGTGCGCATTGCATTTTTTTGATCGATCGCGTAGCGCTTTTGTGATTTTTTTCGTTAAATGTTTGGCGTAATTACTAAGCGTACAGTCTTTGAGTGTTATCAAAGCAGCAGTTGTCTAGATGAATTTGTGTTAAATATGACTTTAATATCATTTATTAAAAAAGTCAGAAAATTATTTTTACTGGGAATTGAATGTGTAGAAACAATAAAGGTCATAGTAAAATATATAAATCACTCCTATTTGGTTGCACATAAATCGTTATGCCTATTTCTTTTATTACAATTTATATGCTCAACTTTAGTCAATTTCCAAATTTCTTTTGTATTTTTGATTTCATTATAATTGAGAGGAAGAAAAAGTACTTCTAATGACCGTGAACAAGGACGATATATGTACGTCCAACACCGAAGCTATGGGCCAAAAATAGTAAAAATGCGCTTTCAAATTTTGCCTTTGACGTTAGGTCTTTTTAAGGAATTTAAAATTTCAAGGATCATTACATAAAAATGTAATGTGCAATGTAGAATAAAAATATGGGCATAATATTAAAGAGGAAATTGTGCAGAATTAAAAATGGTTAAATTTTTTGGTGCATAAGAACTGATAGGTATCGAAAATGTCGTTTTAAAATTTTAGCCTTAAATATCCTTGAAAATTCGCAATACTTATGTTTGAAAAAAATATATGTTAAGGTCTAATATACACAAGACCATATCGAGCCCTAACCGGGAAAAATATGTACACGAAATTTTTTTCAAAGTTTTCTTTTTGATGCAGAAATGTTCTTAGAGCATTTAACTTTAATATTATTAAAATTATTTTATTAAATAAAATTATAAATAAATTTTACAGAATTTTTTTTCTCGCACGGTTTTTTAAAACCACTTTTTGGTTACAAGTCCCTTTGGATCCGCTTATCGTTGAGCAATTTCGCGAGGTCTCATGAATGAATGCTATTTTGGCCGTAAGATAATATCTGACGTCTAAAATTATTTAACGATTCGATGTGCCATTATTTAGCCTTGCAATTTTATATTTTTCGTCATTTTGTTCCTTAGTGTCACAACTTAACCTTTCGCCTCTTTAGCTGCCGAATTTACTTCTTCCCATATTTACTCGATTACTGTTTGCTTCATTTTTATTCAATCACTCAATTTGCTCATTTTCCGTCATACTCACTTACAATCAGTGCTTTACTTATGTACATACACATTTCTTTTCATTTGCTTCATTCGTTAGTTTATTGAGCAAAAGTTTCCTTTTACTGAAATAAAAAGAAAAACTGGCAAGCGCAATTTACGAAAATTGGTTAGAGTGCTGCTTTTGGCATCAATAAATTGCGTTTAACTACCACAGCGTTCGTAGTTCTCCCTTTCAGCCATTTGCCATAAACACGTAAACGCAGTTATTTGGTATTCGGTACTCATTTTAACGTATTACGAATTGACCTCTAAAGTAGTCGCTTACTGAGGTAGCTCAGTGTATTCTGATACATATGTGTAATACATACAAGTTTGCATGTAGATATATGTATACACAACGCAGTGTTGATTGGTTGACCTTTACAGCAGCTATGTACCTGGCAATGAAGCGTATAAAAATTGCAATGTTGCTACATTACTAACAGAGCCAGCCAGTTAGTTGTAGCTGCTTTGATTTTTACGCTGCTTGCGCGACCGCACACATACACAGTTACGGTAGAGCTTGCTGCATCCCTGCTGGAAAAGCTACTAATTGTGAACTAGGATTCTACCAGTTTGCGTTTAAGCGACTGGTATTTTTAACATTGCGAACATCAGCATCTACTATTAGAAATACTAAATAGTAGCATCATACCAGTTGATAAATAGTCCGCCAGTTCATCCCCTGTGAAAATAAATAAGTATTGGCCTTTTTGCTCGCGGCGCTCCAACTGTCGCAATGGCCGCGAGAGCAAAGCACTTGCGAGGTAAGCCCGAGGTCCCAGGTTCAAGTCCTGGCGCAGGGAGATTTGTTTTATATTATTTTTTTTAATATTTTTTTTGGTAGCGTTTATATTGTAATTTTTAAATTTACCAAAAAAAAAAAAAAATTCTTTTTTTATTTCTTTTTTTATGGCACAGGCATTTCTTCCCATATGTATGTTTTTTTAACCGACTTCAAAAAAAGGAGGGGTTATTAGTTGGTCGGAATATTTGTTTATTTTTTTTATGATGTTACCGCATAACTTTAAAGAAATTAACTATATAAATAGTCTTAAATTTTTATAGGAGAATTGGAGTCGGTTTTGTTTTTTGCTTAAAGATTACTTGTCTGCACAACGCAATTAGATTTTCAAATTTGTCATTTTTATTTAAATTGAAATTATTATTTTTACTTACATTGATTTAACTTTAAAAATCTTAGCCACCTCCAAGCGGCCTCGAACCTGCGATCTCAGATCCGAAACCAGCAGTCTTCACTTGACGCCACAGCTGACATTTGTAAGAAGAGTAATTTATTGAGTTTTACTTTAGGCTTTGGCAATTCAAAGGCAGATGTCGCTAAAAGCTTAAGTTCTTCGAAATTGTCAAACTGGTAGGCACATACTAGTTAATGAACTAGTATTTTTTCTAACTAGTTTGGCTTTTCGCTGCAGGGATACTTCTTTTGTGGTTTGTGTTTGGTTTTTATTGCTTCACTACAATTTTTTAATCTATGTTCTATGCATTCTTGGTGCTATTGTTATTTTTGTAGTATTTTGTTGCGCTTTCACTACTTGGCTTTTATAGCTTTTGACGCTTTTCACATTCGATTTTCCTACATATTTTGCCGGAAATGGTTCAATTTTCTGCGCTGGTGTAGTGGTAGTAAATTCTTTTCCACGTTTACCCTGCAGCAGCCGCCAAGTGCATTTACTTCAGTTTGCTCGTCTGTGCTCACGATTCCGCCATTATTACTGTTTTCAGTTACTAAAAGTCTTGTTAGTGTTGTAGTTACTGTTGTTGCCAGCTTTTATTGCCTTTGGTTGTATTGGCACTTTGTGGTAAAATGAAAATAAAAAGCGCAACAAAGATCGTTTTCGCTGAAGTATTTGAAAACTGCCAACGAGCGCAATGAAAAGTTCAATAAGCAATAAATGTTGGTATCTAAGTAAGTGAGTGTACGTGAGTGTGTGTGTGCTCCTACCTCGGCGAGAGTGTATACAATTACTTGAATTTATTATGATATGACTTGCGGTAATTAAAAAGGGCGAAAAGGAAGCTGTTGCCGACAAACTACAAAGACTGAAAATGAACTGGGGCAAATTGATTCCAAAATGGAGAGAATGAGCACATAGCCACCTTCAGCGGATATCCAGCTTGTATGAAATTAGAGATACACTCTAAAAAATTTTTATTAAATTTGCGCATATTAAGATAGGTAACCAGTTTTCTCTCTTAATGAATGCAAATTTAAACACTGCTTGCTTACTTTTACTTATCATATGTGTGGCGTAGAACAAATTTCAAATTTGTTTTTTGAGTTTTAAACATTTATTGTTCACATTTTCACAGTTTACACATAAAATGTTTAAAATTTCCTCTAAAAAATTTACGTTTAAATTTACGCATATAAAGAGAGGTAACCAGTTTCCTCTCCTAGTGTGTGCAAAATTAAACACTGTCTGTTTACTTTTACATATCAAATTTGTCACGTAGCGCATACAAGGGATGGGTTTTGGGGGTAAATTTATTATGATATAAGAAATTTTGATAGAAAAAATTTTCCTTTCCATTTATTGTGCGTCATTTTGTAAGAATCTTTCTTTTTTCTTGACAGCTCTTTAAAGTTTAACTGCGAATGAAAGCATTGTCCTAAAAATATGCAATGCATACTCACTTACTGTTGAAGGGAAACCTACATACCAAATTTCGTTGAGATATCTCAATTTTTGCTCGAGTTATCGTGTACACGGACAGACGGACAGACGGACAGACGGACAGACGGACGGACAGACAGACATGGCTTAATCGATTTCTTTTTTCATCCTGATCATTTATGTATACATTTGTCTATATCTATCTCGATTCGTTTTGGCTGTTACAAACAACCGTTATGTGAACAAAATTAATATACCCTTGTGCACAAGTGCGCTCGGGTATAAAAAAGTGTAAAAATTTAGCGAAGTTATTTAATTTATTTATATTAGAATTCTTTTGTAAAATTTTGTATTACTTTTGAAAGTTGAGTG